TCCCTTGTCCCAATGAGGTAACGGAAATGGTTTGCCTCCATTTTCTCATCCTTGGCTGCTCAGCTGTGTGTACAAGGTCAGCTTTTTCTTCTACAGCTTCCATGCTGCTGCCAGGTTCTTTGACTGGAAAGCCAGATGTGCAGGGGTCTGAGCCCCATTCTGCTTCCTGAGGCTTCTGCTGTATGGGCGATGCTCTCAATCGCATACTCCTTGTTGTTGTTCTCATCTACTGCCACCATATTTCCTGCATAGAGCTCTGTGCAGATAGCCAAGGGAGCCCACTTGGGCTGCAGGCACTCAGATCTTTATTAGAAGAGCCACATGCTCCATGCTGCTGCTTGCAGCCATGAGGTGCACCATGTGTTTGAAGCCATTACAAAATTCCCCAAGCGCACGGAGATTCCTGGTCTCTCTCTCCAAATCACCCCCACTACGGCTCATGTTCCAGTCTACAGGCTGTTACATGCCCATGATTCATTAGCTAAACCTAGAGATGTCCTATAGTAATCTATAGTGTCAAAGCATTTACACCTGGTGGGCTGAGGTCTTTGCAACATATAAAATGCTCTATTTTACATTGGTTTGTTTCTTGTAGTCAAGAAAAGCAGGAGTGAAAGCTAAGAGCGTTTTCCAAGGGGGATGGAGCCTGAAAAGACTGAGAACCTCTGGTCTAAGAAGACAAAACAGGTGGAAGGTGGAGCAGAGAATTAGTTTCTTAAATGCCAACGGCTTACAGATAGGCACCCCCCCATCTCTTACAATTCAATATATCACACACAGAAGCAGCCCTCCACCCTTCTCTTCCCAGCTGCTTTCCCAGCATGCTTCCTTGGGAGCAGGCCCCTTAAATTTGGCAGAGCCAAGCAGCTGCTGAGCTCAAACAGTCCTGTCCCATTAGGCTGCTGGCTGGCAGTTGTCTTTTTTCCAGCTCTACTGGTAAGTCTTAACTCTGGCTATATGTTGCTGTGTGTTCCCCTTTCTCTCTTTCAAGGAGACAGCAGTTTGGATATTCAGTGCTGTTGTGGAGCCCTGCATGCGAGGAAGGAGCTATCTTTCCTGCTAACGGACCCCTGACAAGAGCCCTCAGGCCTTGCTGCAAGCCAAGTAAACAATGTCCTATCGAAACTGGGGAAACTGAGGCACAAAGCCATGCAGTAGCTCGTGCGCATCAGAGCTCAGCCCCGAATCCAGGTGTCCTGCCCTGCAGACTAGCGCTTGCTCCCCTCTCTCAATAGCCCCTAGCAGAAAAAATCCCAGGGCTAATAATTTGATGTAAAGGGCCGGAGACCAGAAGCTGTGCCAGGCGGAGATGAACCGGCAGGGCTTCCTAGATGCTGGGGTCGGAAGGGACCTCAGCAGATCATCGAGTCTGACCCCCTGCCCTGGGCAGCAAAGAGTGCTGGGGTCAGATGACACCAGCCAGATGCTTGTCCAGCCTTCTCTTAAAGACCTTAAAGGATTTTTTTGCGGAGGGAACTCTGGTCCTGTTTGGCTAGACTAGCTTTTGCATGCAAGGCTAGGTCTTGAAACAGTAGCTGCCTTATTTTATCAGGGGCCTGGAGGCATTTCTTGGTGTCAAGCATATGTTCTGCTTAAACACAAGGCCATGTGTCACCCCTGCCCAGCTGGCCTGGGAGCCCTCCACCCCGCCCTTCAGGTGCAAGGTGCCTGCCCGTCTGCCCTCACACAACATGGCGGCCACCTCCCCACGCTTCCCAACGGGAGTGAAGCTACCCCTGCAGACCCCGGATGGAGCTGCCAGGCTGCCCTCGATCAAGATGGCGCCGCCTCCCATGCTTCCCAAGGGCGGTGAAGGCAGGGGCGGGAGCCCGGATGTGAGCGCCCCTCAGGGGGCGGGGCCGGGTGCCCGGATGTTCCTCCTGCTTCAGACGGGGAGAGAAGCTGACGGATCCAACATGGCCGCCCGGGTCCTGAGGAGAGAGTGAGCGAGGCCTAGTCAGCCCGAGCCCCGGGCGGCGCCGCCCGGCAGCAGCGGGGCATGGGCCAGCGGCACTAGGGGCGGGGAGGCGGGGGACGCCCCGGAGGCCTGAGCCCCTCGGCCAGGAGCCCCCAGGAAATACCGCCCCTCCTGGGCCCCTTCGTCTCTGCTGGGGGGAGGCGAGGAGCCAGGTGTGTCTGTTGGCCTGTGGGAGAGTAGAGGAGAGAGTCTGAAGGCTGTGAATTCAAACCAGGCATTTCTTAAAAATACACTGGGGTTTTTTGGGGGGGTGGGGGGAGGTTGGGGTGGTTGGTTGGTTTTTTTTTGTTTTTTGGGGGGTTTTTTTGTCCCAGCCTCAGCTCAAACCAGCTTTTCCTGGCCTGCCAGGAGAGAGGGCGGGGAGGGGGGAGGAGAAGGCAGGGAGAGAATTGCTAAGCTGTGATCACATGTATTAATTAATTAATACAAGGGGAGGAAAGCTGTGATCCTAGAGAACGAAGGAGTCGGGAAGGTTTTCAGGACCCTCTTCGGGCAGCAGATCGCCAGGTTTTGGGGGAGTTTTAGTTCTGTCGTTTGGGAGCTTTCGGCTTACTTTCCGGGAGAGTCAAATATTTAATTGCTGCAGTTAAAAGAAGGACGAGTCTGGCAGCTGTGCGGCGAGCCGGCTGTTGGGAATGTGACGCTCCTCGTCTGCGCTCGGAGAGGGGCCTTTTCTTGGACGAAACAGTGTTAAGGGGTAGGGGGAGGGAAACGAGCACTAAAAGCGACCATCACAATTTAAAAATGAAGTGGAAGGTACGGGTTGAATTTTAAAATAATTCCCCGTTCTGTTGACCTTTCCTTGGGTATCGGTGAATTGGTTTTGGACGTCAGTTTTCCAGAAATTATTATATTATTTATTATTACAATATTAAAAGAAGAAAAATTGAGGGCAAGGAAAAGTAGGCGGGAAGCTCATCTTATTTGCAAGGTTAATGACAAGGTGTTAGCCGTAAAGAAATGGGCCAATCAGAGCTTTAATGCAAATTGTACTTTTTAAGAGAAATGACCTAGAGGGTACAAATTTGATTCTTTTCCTCTTCCCTCCCTCACGTCAACGACTCTTTCAGTGAGGTAGGCTTCAGAGTTTTTTGGGGGAAAACCTTTGGGCAACTTCAAGGCAAGTCTACCAGTTTCAATATTTCATTCTGCTCGTCGAACTTGAGAAGTTAGACTTCCCTGACCCAAGAGCCATATGTCAAACAGTTCACAATTTTTTATTTAATAAGAAGTAAAGTGAAGGGGGTTATAGAAGACTACTTAAAAATTCATGGTCGGCCACTGTATTCAAATCGCAGCACCGGAGAGGATATAAGCAGGAAAGGAAGCGCTTCAGATTCAGGTTGGTTTTTATATATTTTATAGTATGGTAGTGATTCATTCACTTCTGTTTATCTCCCTGGAAGGTACGGTTAGCCCAAGTGGAAATAGGCAGAATATTAGGTCTTGTGCTGGTCTGGGTTCGTGAGACTGACTGGGCCTCCAGCTGAAGCATTACCCAGCGGATGTGTAAAAGTTTCCCTTCCATCGGGTAAGCTTTAAACTCCAGCTAAAACAGAGTAAGTGATTTGGATTGGGAGGGAGGGGACAGAGGACAGTGAACCTGGTTCTCAAGTCAAGGCGCAAATACAAGATTGTTCGGATGGAGTCCGGTGACCCTTGCGTCTTCCTGGACTCCAGAACAATTGTGGAAAGGTCTCTGCATCCTGCCTTCTAGAATTATGGAACAAAGGAGTGCTCTATAGAGATTCTGGGGCTTAATAACATTTGAAATGGCACCAGAGGGCTAGAAGCGCATCCCCAAAGTGTGGAGCTTCAGCTCACTGAGTAACGTAAATTTTAGAAGGTGCAGAACCCTTTAACAGCCCATGGGAAGGCTGAAGGACAATTTTGTATTGGTTTCATTTTTTTTTTTTGAGGGTAAGGCTTAACTTCCAAAAATTTGGGCATGGCGCTATAGGCACACACAGCAGGGAATCCTATTGTGGAGGTGAAGGGAGGGAGTATACTCTGTGTATTGTATTAAGTTTTTGTGCTGTGGTCCAGGGAATAGGGCACTGCGCTTGGAGTAAGCTGCTTGGGCCAGATCCTGGCTCTGGTCCTGACTTCCTATGTGATGTAGGTTGCATTGCCTGGCTGACTTAGGCCCCAGTTATCCTTTCTGTACAGTGGAGAAGATGAAGCTGACTTTCTTTGAGATGCGTGTGTGGAAAGTGCTCTCAAAACAGTGTGTGATTAGTCATTGCCAAAGTGCAGTTCAGAACACTTATTTTCAGAAGCAATCTGGGTTCTGATAGGCTTCCTTTCCTCTAGTGTTATGTCCCAGCCCTAGTTTTGACCCTGAATTCTAGCTACACACTGCTCTGGTTACCACTCGTGCAGACATTGTGTTTCATCAGCTCTCTTTTTGGCTGTGTAGGCCCTGTGTACAGTGCAACTCTTGTGTGGTTACAAACTCAGCTGTGAGCTTAGCTGTCTGTGTGTCTGCCCAGCGTGGTTAATGTTTCATTTATCACCCTAGTTGCAGCTTTGCCCCTGCCTGCACCCTGGCCTTGCAGGTGACTAAATTTCTGTAGCTATCTATCTGGACAAACTGTTAGTTTGCATTTTGGAAGGATCCCTTGTTTGCCTATACAGCCAGGTTGTCCCAGCTGTCTACACGATAATAGTATCTCGGGGCGCATTTCCCTGCTTACCGCTGTTCCTGCTCCGGTTACACTCCCTCCATCCTTGGCTGAGGCATTATGGGGGATTACTTGGATACTACTCTTAAGTGATATACATGCTCAAACTTTGTCTATGGCAGGGTATTTCTGCAGGCAGATAGCAGCTGCTGCAGGAAAGTCTCTGGAGCATGCGTGTCTCTGCATGCTTGTGTTGGATCTGCAGGCTTCACTGCTCAGCTATGGTGGAAGGGAGTAGAGTGCACCCTCAGGAGACATCACAGCTGAAAGGACCTCAACAGTGGGCAGAAATCTACATGTGTTGCCTAATAGCAGAGTCCTTTCAGTGGGGGAGATGATTATTCTGCTGGCAGGAAACAAAAAGCACAGAGCACCTACTAGTGCGAACACATTTTTCCAGCAAAACTGTGCAGTGTTAGATCAAGCTTTGAGGAAGAGAGCTACCTAGCTTGCCCCAGGGTACACTGATATTATGCTGCCTACTTGTGCTAGTATACATAAAGATGCAAACCAGACTGATCTAGGTGGCTGTGCTGTGAAAGAAGCTGTTAGTTTGGGCACCAGCCTTTTTGTAGGTGTCAGGTCAGGGGAGGTGGTCATGAGCAGCACACACAACTACAGTGGTGGTTATTGGATGTACAGATCTTTCATTACGTGGCATTGGAGCCAGCTGTGAAGTTGCTTTTCATGATAAAGGCCCTTTCCACTGGAAGAAAATTCATTCATTCTATTTTTCCATATGGTTCTCCCTCGCAGTATTAGTGATGGTTTGTAGCCCATGTTTTAAACACTTTAGTTGGTGTGCTTCCTTCTCGGATAGGCTCATCCCCTGCACACACCACCCAGAACAAGCTTTATTATACTAGGTTATGACATTAATCTGGCATAGTAAAAGGAGGGCCTCAGCTATAATAAGGAACTTGTAACTGTAAACTCGCTTGCATTCAACACAAGCATCTTTAATAGCTGCTGAGCAGGGGTAGTTGATATAAAATAGCCAGGGCCTGTTTACAGTTCAGCTTCAAGTATTAGTAACATCAATCCTGCTCTACCCAGGAACGACATGGCCTCAAATAGTGTGGATAGGAGCAACCACAGGATGGCATTTTGTAAGCTACTGAGATTGCCATGCTGGCCATCAGTCCTTGTGGTCATGTATCCTTTTTGCTGCGAGCAACAATACCCATTGCTGTAGAGCAGGGGTGGGCAATTATTTTCAGAGGAGGGCTGCTTACCCAGTTTTGGCAGGCTGTCGAGGGCCGCATGGGTAGCCAGAAAGGGCCCTGCTGTTGTTGGAGCCTGCCGGGCTCCCCCTGGGTCCTACTGTCCTTGGTTTCTGTCACTTTTGACAGGAACCAAGGGCAGAGAAATAATATTAATTTCTACATTTTTTTTTTTTTTTTAGGGGCCCTGAGGGCCGGATAGAATGGCCTCGTGGGCTGCATCCGGCTCGTGGGCCGTATTTTGCCGACCCCTGCTGTAGAGGAAGGTCCAAGAAACTCCACGGTGGACAATTAGGGGTTATAATAGATGTTTCTTAAGAGCTGTTTTTCATGATGGCTTCTACTCGAATCCTTTCTTAAACTTTTGAGTTGCTAGTGTTTTCTAATTCAGGCCTACTGAATTTGGGGTTGTGTGTGGCTGTGTTCTGGCAAAAATGGAGGCATTTCTCTTGTCTGTCTTCAGTTGATGATGCTGAGGATTGTAGGTGTTTTTCAGCTGATACAGTGGGATGTCTGTGTAGAGTCCTGGGAATTAGGAGGATATATTCATCTCATTACACAACAGCTAAATATCCTGGGCTATATAGCCGAAAATCTATGCAGGGACTTAGTCGCAGTCTTAACTGTCATTTTATAGCATTGCTTATCTGCTGGGTGAAAACACCAACTTGCATGTGTTTCTGAGAGCCACGTGTCAAGTGCGCTGTGTGTAGCGATACTCAGTTTCTAACATGAATTGGGGATATGACTGGAGTCTGCTCTGCTGTGAAATAGGACCCTACTTTAACCATGTTAGTGACCTCACTTGTGACTGGGGGCCCTTCTCCTGCAGACCTTAAACATGATGTGAAGAGAGAATCTTTAAATCCAGTTAATGTAAGTTGTTTTTCCTACTTTGATCTATGTAGGATGCATGAAATCTTTCTTTTCTCCTTGCATTTTGTCTTAAATTTCCAGAGTATTAACTGTACTTCTATTTGCTGTCAGTGATGATAAACGGTTTCTTCCAAAGCAGGTGCAAAAAATGGGTTACTGGGCAATACTTTCCAAATCCAAACAAAAAAGTGTGTTGTACCCATACCATAAATTTGCTTCCAAGAGGGCAGTAGGAAAGAGAGACTGGCTATAAAATGGAGGCAAGATGAGGGATTTTTTTTATGTTGGAGCTTTTGCCATACAGAGAGTTTTTTAAACTTTTTTTTAAAGAAGAGACTTGAAAGTGCTGATCACACTCATGCCCTGCTACCATGCAAATAATCATAGCAAAGGTTGGCCAGGAGACTAAATAAGATGTTAGTTTCTTTCCAGTAACTTGTTCTCACTGATCAACTTAATACTATGATCTGGTCAGTCAAGCATTTCATTCAGTCTTTAGATAAGAGACTGAGCTTGATTTCACTTTTTTTGAGAGTCCTAGAGGATACTTCTGGGCTACACTGGGATAATTATCTCTGATAATAGCACTTTCTTAAACTAAGGTGAATGCTTAAAAATGTGGCATTGCTCCCAGTGAGCTGGGGACTTGAAAGGAAAGGCTAGTTCTTGATGCAGTTAGAATGCATGATTACTGCCATTGATCTTGAATTTTGTTGTTCTTATTATATATTTTAACTAAATTTAACTTTAGCTAACTGTAGGAACATCCGATTTTAATGGGACTATTCATGTGCTTAATATAATCAGGATGAGAGCTGAGTGCCCTGTCCTGGAGAAGCTCAAATGTTGTTCTTAGCTGTGAGTAGGTCTGCTAAAGTCAGAGGGACTATTTGCAATGTGTGAAATTACGTCTGTGCATAAATATGAGGTCAGGTCCATGATTGTAAGGGGGAAAGCCCTTGTGTGTACTTTTGTCTGTATTTTGCCTAGTTACTTAAAGTGTTTCCCCAATACAATTGGCTTCCTCCTGTTTGTGTGTCATTAACACAGCAGCAAGGGGACAAAAACACTCTTAAAAGAAAAAGTGACAGCAGAACTGTAAGAATGGTGGGTCAGCAGGGGAACATCCTGGTTGGTGGTGTAGCAGAAACTACCTGAAATTAGATTTTTGTTTTGTTTTTGTTTTAATAACCTCGTCTGGGATTATGAAAACAAGATCTTATGTTTGTTCTTTTGTTCACATTAGCATTTCAGTTTGATCATAACATTAAAATAGGAAATTACACATCCAGGCTTTTGGATAGTTTTGTGAAATGTTTTTTGTTGGTATGTCTTGTGGATTCTTTGGTGTCCTGATTTTTGGCAGGTGGAGCACTTCTGTTTTCTGTTATGGGGGGTGACTTCCCTCTTCCCTCCCCCCGCAATGCTTCTGAAGCTACATAAGGTTAAATCCTAATAGTACTTAAAACAAACGGATAGGTTTCTCGTTAATATTTATATGATCATGAAATTATCGTACTGTATCGAAGAGGTGGACTTAAGGTTGCTTTTGGAAAGTTTAATCTTGTGTTTCCTGAGTTATATGCCAAATGCCAACTACAGCTTTGCCTTGATACGACCTTGGAGGTATTTTGTGTGTGTGATTTCTATGGATGTTTAGAGGATAAGGTAAACCTGTTACTCCATGGAATGCTTTTTTGCCAATTATTTTGTTAATTTAGAAAGTGAATACTTCTGAGAAGAAAAATTTCAAGAATGTATTTGGTAATAGCCAAGTAAATCTACAAAACCAAGAGTCAAAAAAACTTGAGCCACTGAACTGCCACCTGCATTGTAGCTGTAGGAAGCTGTTTTCTGTCTCAGGTTATCTTTAACTGTATCTTTCTGTATAATCATGACTCCTGGTTTACAAGACCTTTCTGGAATTGTAAGCCAGGGATTGTGAGGGGGGAAGGAAGAGGTGTGGGTTGGGAGCAAATTGAGGCCCCCATGGTGAGGAAGGGAGTGGGGCTGGGTATAAGGCTGGGCCAGGCGCTGCCTAGCAGGGACAGTGTGTGGGATGGAGCTGCAAGTGGCTTGTCTGGTAGGGGGGATGTGTGGTTCCCACTGCTGCACACACCCCCAGGAGAGGCATGGGGGGGGGGGACTCCTCTTCTCTCCTCCTCCCCCCCCCCCCCCCCCCCCCGGATCTGTGCATGGGGCAAAGGTGGGCTGGGAATGGGTGCAGCACCAGGCTCTTCCCAGCGGGGGGAGGGTTGGCATGGGGCTGTGCTTGGGGTGGTGATGGTGCTGAGACGAGGGGCTACGATGAATTCTGGTGTGGCTGTAGCCCTCATTCCCAGTGCAGCCATGACCCAATCCCCACACTGGGAAGAGCCTGGCGCTGCCCCCGGCCCCAGCCTGCCCTCGCCCTACCCACAGATCCAGGGGGCACACACCCTCTGTGCCTCCCCCGGCAGGATGTACAGCTATTGGAGCCTTACCCCCATCACCCAGACAAACTGTGGTTCTGTCCCATGCCCCATCCTGACTGGGCAGTGCCTGCCCCAATCCCAGCCCCACTCCCTCCCTCACTGTGGGGGCCCTGATCTGCCCCCTTCTCTCCCCTCTTCCTGCTTCTTCCTCCCCAACAGACTTACCAGCCAGACACTATTCTCCAAGCGGCCAGGTTGGCTGCGTGCATGGTGCAGCTGCATGCGTGCACATGGCATTTATCGGCAACATTAATGGCTATATCAGCCAAAAAAGCCAATTGTTGATCATGTCAATTTTCGTTTTTTCGGTGCTGATTTGATCTGGACCGATGTATCAGTGCACCTCTAATAATTGTTTAGGCAGTAGTTGTTAAGTTCTGTTCGCTAGGATAGCAGTGATGTGTGGCCAAGACATTTTGCCTCCTGCATACTAGGTATTACTGTACCTAGTATTTTTTGTAGCCAAGTCGCAAAGAGCTAGTCTTACATGGTTAAACAGGTGAGATATAGCTGTGATTCACCCATGACTGTGCAGTAAAAATACTTGCATCAGCATGTGTATGTGCATGCATGCATGCACGCCAAAAAGAGCGCGCTCTGAAGAAGCGGGAAGTTAACTTCTCAGTTTCTTATGGGTGTGTGTACATAGTGGGAGGGTATTGCCCACATACTGCTGCCACTAGGATGCCCTACTGCACGGAGATTTGGGAGCAAGGGGGATGAGCTGAACCAATTACAGGCTCAGCACTATGCATCCCGTCTGTACTACAGGCTTTAATGCCCTGACTGTAGGAGAACAGCCGTGGCGCCTCCTAGGCTAGTAACAAGAGTGCAGAGCTCGCAGTGTGCAAGTCTCATATCATCAGAGATACCATCAGCGTAAAATTGGATGTCTATGGAATTCTTCCTACTTTTTGTTAGAAGCAGGAAGCTGCAGCTAAGATAAGAGACCAAAAGAAATGTATGGTCTTTTGGCAATTCTACTTCATGCATTTGCCAATGGTTTGTATAGTCTGTTGTGGCTGTTCCTGTAGTCAACTTCCCCTGTTTGTATTGGGTTTTTCTCAACTCTGGGTAGGGGAAGAGAAAGGGGGCGGGGGTGAGTTTTAAAGATACACAAATTGACTAGACGTTTCAGGTTAGATGCAAGACCTGAAACGACTTTAACTAGATCTCAAGTTCGTGGTGTCCCTTTGATCATGGAGGCAAAACTATAAGAGCAGGTCCTCACGTGGTTTATTATATCAACAAGAAACTATGGCAGCTAAGGACTTGGCCCCATTATTTTTTAAACTAGTCCATGCAGTTCACAGGTGACAAAAATATACCTTTGATTTAATTAATTTATTTGTTTTTAAACTTTAGTGAGCTGTTCCTTCTGCCTCTGAGCTCGCATGCTTAGGTGCAAAACATCCCTAAAAGAAGACAAAAGGATTCTCAGACTCTGTGTTAGCTTTCTATAATTCTGTATAGCCAGAGGTTGGAAGGGACCTCAGGAAGTCGCATCTAGTTCAACCCCCTGCTCAAAGCAGAACCATCTCTGACTAGATCATCCCAGCCAAGGCTTTGTTGAGCCGGGTCTTAAAAAATCTCTAAGGATGGAGACTTCACCACTTTTGGGTAACCTGTTCCAGTGCTTTACTACCCTCCTAGTGAGAAAATTCTTCTTAAGATCTAAACTTCCCTTGTTGCAACTTGAGTCTGTTGCTCCTTGTTCTGTCACCTGCCACCACTGAGAATAGCCTAGCTCCATCCTCTCTTGAACCTGCCTTTGAGTAGCTGAAGGGTGCTATTAAATCCCCTCTGTCTCATCTTCTCTAGATTAAATAAGCCCAGTTCCCACAGCCACTCCTCACAAGTCATGTCCTGCAGCCCCCACAACAATTTCATTGTCCTCTGTTGGACTCTCCAATTTGTCCACATCCTTTCTGTAGTGGTGGGGGGGAGGGGGGCAGCACAACTGGACACGAGACTCCAGATGTGGCCTCACCAGTGCTGAATAGAGGGGAAGAATCACTTCCCTTGACCTGCTGGCAATGCTCCTACCAGTGCAGCCCAGGATGCCATTGGCCTTCTTGGCAACAAGGGCACACTGCTGGCTCATATTCCCCTTATTGTCCACTGTCACACCAGGTCCTTTTCTGTAGAGCTGCTGTCCAGCCGGTTACCCCCAGTCTATAGTGGTGCATGGGCTTGTTCCATTGTAAGTGCACTTTGCTCTTGGTTTTGTTGAACCTCGTGAGATTCCCTTTGGCCAATTTTATCTAGGTCACTCTAAATCCTAGCCCTACCCTCCAGCATATCTGCAACTTCCCACAGTTTGGTATCATCTGCAAACTTACTGAGGGTGCACTCTCTATGCCATCTTCCATGTTGTTGGTGAACAAAACCGGCCCCAGGACTGACCCCTGGGGCACTCCACTTGATACCAGCTGCCAACTGGACATGAAGCCATTGATTACTTTCTGAGCCCGATGCTCCAGTAAGTTTTCTATCCACTTTACAGTCCATTCGTCCAACCCATACTTCCTTAGCTTGCCTGTGAGAATGGCTCTGGATGTGGGGTAGCGTGATTTTACTAAGGCTTTTGATAGTCTCCCGCAGCAGTCGCCTTGTCACAGAAGGCAGTTGGGTTGATCAGGCATGGCTTGTCCTGGCGAATCCATGCTGACTGTTCCTAATCACCTTTTTCTCTTCCAAGTGCTTGGAAATGGATTCCTTGAGGATCTGCTCCATGATTTCTCCAGGGACTGAGGTGAGGTTGACTGGTCCGTAGTAACCTGAATCCACCTTCTTCCCTTTCATAAATATGGGTACTATTTGTGCCATTTTCAAATCATCCGGGACCTCTCCTGATCGCCATGAATTTTCAAAGATGATGGCCAATGGCTTTGCAGTTGCATCAGCCAACTCCCTCAGCACCCTGAGGTGCCTCCCATCCAGCCCCATGGACTTGTACACGTCCAGCTTTTCTAAGTAGTCCCTAATCTGTTCTTTCAGCACTGAGGGCTGTTTACCTCCTCCCCAAACTGTGCTGCCCAGTGCAGTAGTCGGGGAGCTGCCCTTGCCTTTGAAGACTGAGACAAAGAAGTCATTGAGCACTTCAGCCTTTTCTGCATCCTCTGCCACAAGGTTTCCCCCCAGTCAGTAAGGGACCCACACTTTTTCCCTGATCCTCCTCTTGCTACTGACATACTTGTAGAAAGCCTTGTTACCCTTCACATCCCTTGCTCACTGCAACTCCAGTTGCGTTTTGGCTTTCCTGACTTCATCCCTGTATGCCTGAGCAATGCTTTGATATTCTTCCCTAGTTATTTGTCTAAGTTTTCACTACTTATAAGCTTCCTTTTGTGATTTCATTCACTGAAGAGTTCCCTGCTAAGCCAAGCTGGTCTTTCTGCCCTACTTGTTAGTTTTCCCGCGAATCGGGATAGTTTGTTCCTGCACTCTCAGTAAGACTTCTTTAAAGCCTCATAAAAGTTTAAGTTCTTCTGATTTGGGTAACTGTGAAATTGGCAGAGAGCTAGGTTACAAGGAAAGTAGATTTTCTTTTATAGGATGCATAATGGAAACCCCTGATTTGAAGTAATACAACAGACTTGCATATCATTCCAGAGCATTGCAGTAATAAAGAACAGCCCCCTGAGACTTCAAGAGAGCCAGATATTTTTTCAAGATGAGAATTTTTGTGCAGAAGCCTCCACTTGTTTCTGCCTGGAGTGCACAGCATGTTGAACAACTCTGTGACTTCATGCTTTTTTTTTTTTTTTTTTTCCGCCCCTTTAATTACCATTTGGCTCCCAGGTGTTTGTTTAAAAAAATGCAGAACAAACTAACACCATCCTTTTGTCTCGCGTGTAATTTTTTAAAAATAAAAACCTAATGTACTTGAAAACAATTGGATGAAAACAGCAAGCCCTATTTAAATGAAGTGTGAGTGCATAATACACTTTACATTCAAACTTGATTTACAGTGTTGGTTTTCCAGACTTGGAGCATTAAGGTAAAGCAGCAGTGTCGAGCTCACCTGTGTCCATGGGCCAGATCCGGACTGTGTGGCTGCTCACAGACAGATCTAGATGTAGTGACAATGGGGTGAGCAGCAGCACAGGGGTTAATGCAGCCATTGCTTTCTCCCCTGCCAACTTCCAGCAGTAATGCTCAGCCCTGTGGGTGGGTGAGACAGCTTCTTGGGCCAGATTTGGGCTGCATGTTTGCCACCCTGGGCTAAAATATGATGACCAGGAAGTGAAAGTGGCCAAATGTATCCAGTAATCACAAATGAAACTTCTTATTCTTTGTAAAATTACTTCTGAAATGTGGGTGGCAAACTTGTTAATAAGGTCTCTTTGCTCCCCTGGTGTGTGGATAACCGAGCAGAATGGAAGTTAAGTGTTGTTGTACCTTCAGTCGGGTACTTCTGGTTTCATGGGCTTCTCCCATATCTAGACAGATTGTAATGCAGCTGAAGTAGTATGAAATGCTAGAACTGGGAGCTGCAGGTGGAGAAGTGTTACTGTACAGCAACTGTCCAACCAAGGTCAGCAGGTAATCAGCTGAATAATAATTGGAACAACACCCCCCCCCCCCTCTTCCAGGAGACTTCTAAATATACAAGCATGGAGACTCACAACTGTCCAGATAGGTAGCAAACATTACCCTCTTTTTCATTGACTGTA